GGGGGGGAGGCTGCTCCAGGCCTTCCGCCGCACTTTCCTTTGGACCCTGTCGTTTCGTGGTATGGGCCTGTGTGTATTCCCTAATAGCGTCATTCACCGAGCACTTCCTTTGAGCCAGGCACGGAGCCGGACATCTTTCACTCGCACAGCCACTGCATGAGCCCCATTGCGCCTGTCCCTGTCATGTAGGTGCATGCAAGCCCCCGGGGCTAACTGAGGGACCGGGTTCACACAGAATGAGAGCGGGAGCCGGAGCTCCAGTCCGTCCAGCGCCAGCGCCAGTGCTCCTGACCCCGTGGTCGGCAAACTGCGGCTCGCGGGCCACATGCGGCTCTTTGGCCCCTTGGGTGTGGCTCTTCCACAAAATACCACGCGGGCACACGTACAGGGCGATTGAAACTTCGTGGCCCATGTGCAGGTTTTCGGCCTGGGCGAGTCTATTTTGAAGAAGTACTGTTGATATCTGGCTCTGTTGACTAATGAGTTTGCCGACCAGTCCTAACCGATGTGCCCTATTAGAGAAAGGAGTGGTGACTCATGTCCGAAAGGACCCTAGCCCATCTGCATGGAATATTCCACATCAACAGTGTCACCTTTGTAGTTATGTCCACCATTTTTAAAGAAATCTATTTGAAATTTTATAACATAAAATTTATATATAAAAGTAAACAAAGTAGGCAGGCCATGGTCAAAGAGCAAGCAGAGTATAGAACACCATTTACCCGTTCTCTAATGTCAGCAGTTATCGACATAAGGCCAATCTCGACTAACCTACCACTCCCTGTGTCCCCACACCAATACCCATCCCTAGTGGGTTATTTTAAAGCAAATCTTAGACACCATGTCATTTCATTCATAAATACCTCATTATGTATCTCCTGAAGATATGACTCTTAGAAAATAACACAACTACAACACTATTATAATACCTTTTAAAAAGGAACACACCAAAAGGAATTCCTTAATATCATCTGAAACCCAGTCAATGTTTGAATGAAATGAAGATCTGGTCTCCGTTCTCGTGGAGTTTACATTCTGGCCACCAGGAAAGCTGAATGTGCTTATGATGGCGTGGGACTAGCCCCCCCATCAGAGTTACTCTGGCACCTATGACAGACAGGTGCCGAACGCTGCCGCCCCCGCCCCCTCCTGCCCCCCCATGCCCTGCTCACCTGAGGAAGTTGTCCTGCAGCTCTGCTAGGTACTGGTCAAAGTAACTCCATTCATTGCACCGGAACTGGGTCAGCTGCAGGAGGTTGTCCCTTCGCTTCTTCATGTTGCACAGGGTCAGGTTGATGACATCAGCGTAGGTCAGGCTGGACTCAGTGACTTTCATGGTCAAGGAAACCCCCTCCCTGCCGGTCGCTACTGCCTCAGCATATCGGAGGCATGTGCCTGGTGCATGGGGAGGAGGGCGGGAGACACAGAGTGGGCCTGCGTTGGAAAGAGGCTATCTATCCCCACCACGGCTAGGCCGCTCCCTGTCTGTGAATGAAGTTCTTCTCTTCCTG